TGTTGCTTCCCGAGGCTTGTTATGGACCAGTCTTCGAAGAAAGAGGAACAAGAGCAGAGAGAGCCATGCCCACTCGAGGCACATCCCGCCCAACCTGCAGGTGGGGCACAGCTGTCTCCTTGGCCAGCTCACGGAAGTTCAGAGTCAGAAGGATAAAGGAAGCCTTGGTCATGTCTCAGACAAGCACAGTGCGCACCCCGCCGCTTCTCCTGCGTCTACGTTATTGGAAGAGGTTGCCCCACTCCCCGCCCGACAGCTTAAATACCCACTGACCCCGGCAAAGACATCACGAGGTGACAGATCATTGCTCTGATGGAGACAGATTCATAAAAGCTCAACGCGATCTGATCGCCACATCTCTGCACACCAGGCAGCATGGATTAAAGATAAGCTTTACATCTGAAAGCCAATTAAAGTGATACAGCATTGGGATGAAGAACATGGTTCATAGGGCCATCTAAAGTGATGAAAACCAAAAGCATTTGGCAAAAATTCAGCACCTGAATGACAAACACACTCAAAAAGCTGACAAAAAGTAGTTATAAAAGCTAACTTAGTTGGAAACACTGTTCTCTCCCCAAGATCAGGAATAAGACAAAGGTGCCTACACCGTCTACTGCATTGCACACTGACAGCTCCAGTCACAGCAGTTGGAAAGAACACGGAATAGAAGGGTTCAGACCTGGCCGTGTGAGGCACTATGAAGACGCTGTTGAGGGTACCTGCACCCTGTATGCAGGTTCCTGTCCTGCCCTTTATTCCAATTTCCTGCAAATGTGGCACCAAGGTGGCGCCAGCTGTCAGGCAGGTCCTCTCCTCCACCCCCATGGAAGCCCTGTCTGGTTTCCTGGCTTTGGTCTGATCCAAACTCAAGCTGCTATGGGTCCTTGGGAATAAACTGGAGCATGGAGGATTCCTGCTGCTTCAACCTGTCTCTCTCCTCTCTGCTTGTTAAAGGGTCTTTTGTCGTTGTTGTTAACTATAAAACTGCCTCCAGACTGCAAAGGAAGATGCAGAACTTTCTCTAATTGCACATCATCTGCTCTTAGGTGGAATATACCAAAGACTGCATGGAAGTTAGATTTAGTCAATTTCAACAAGGTTACAGGATGGCTTGAAGTCCACACAGTTACAAACAAGTTCTAAATGTAGACAGTGACAATACTTGCAAAATATTTCCATAGTACTGAATGCATCTAGGTTTTATACTTAAAATGACTAAATTTTAAAGTTATTTTTCATGCTTTGTGTATTTTGTCACAACTTTTTAAAAGAATAATAAAAAACACATGCTTTAATTAAACCTCGCAGGGTAGGCGCACAGGCCTGGAGTCTGGAGCCAAGGAAGCAGGGTCGTTGCTTTTCTATGGAAGAAAAACAAGACAAGACTGCAACATGTCCCGCTTAGCTCGTGAGTCTGCCTGGAACTTAATAGGATATGTAGAAGGTGAGCGAGTGAATAAATGGATGTGCCAGTTGAGATTCAGAAAGCTAGCTTGACATCTCAGGCTCACGTAACCTGTGGGTGTTTGAGCCAGAATTTAAGCTGGTGTCTTCAGTCTCTTTCTTTCAAAATCTCCATTCCATGTCATGCTGTCTTCCAGAAATATATTCCCCGCATAGTTTTTTCTGTACTTCAAGGAATTGTTAATAATTTAGAAAAATAAGTAATGCACATCCATCATTCTCCATTAGTTAGGCAGCCTAAAACCAAACATAGTCTAGAAAACAGACCAAAACAGCAAGCGATTCCACATGGAGTTTTGAGGACTAGTGAGCAGAGCTCTTCCAACCCGAGCATGCACGGCCCTATGCCACCCACCTGCCTGCTGTTGTCAGGATTCCAGGACACACACTGAAACAGCAGGAGCTTGGGCTAGGCTCAGGCAGCCTGACACTTAACAGAGCCATTTCTGTAGAGTCACAAAATGTGTATAAAAATGAAAAAAATTTTTAATTTTCAAAAAAAATCCACTTACTTGACACAGCACAACTATACTTATCACAACTTGGGCTTAAAAATGAATTCAATCTGAGTACAGAATCACAGGTGCGTATATTATGTCCCAAGGTTTGGCATGAGATGTTGCAATGGGTAAAGAATTGGGCCTCCAACACCAAGCAGGCGACTCAGCGCTGAAACACGGGAGCCCGAGTGAGTTCCACACACAGCTGCTGACCGTGGCAGGCTCAAGCAAGAGACTTCTTCTAGAGCTCCACTTTCCTGTGGGTCAAGTGGGTTCTTACAATCCTATGTTGGGATGGAGTGCAAGGAAGTACAGAGTACACAATACAGTCACTCAGATCACAGGTTTCCAATACAGATCACACATTGGTGTACGTGATCACAATGCCACACGAAAGAAGAAAACCACACACTGAACACAGAGAGAGGAAAACAGGGTTTTGCACCTCAGATGCATGAATTTGCTAATAACGTCTCTAAAACACACAGGTGGTGAGACACAGTCTGGTCCATATCGAAGTGTGACCTGAGCTTCTCCCAAGGAAAGGCAAGCAGTGGCTTGCGTTGCTCCAAATCGAGTCCAAGACTCGGCTGAGCATGAAAATGGCACCTGAGCAGGGAACATGGCCAAGCTGGCACACCGCCTTGCCTGTGCCCGGGCATGAGGAAACTGGATCTGGCGCTGGCTGTGTTCGGAAGGAAAAGCTCAGGTTGGAGCGGCGGTGCCAGTGGCGGAAAGTGTGGGGAATCCCTGGCAAGTGGAACATGAAGCCCAGGTGGAAGGGGGCCGTGAGAACAGCAGGCCGAGCCTGGAACTTAAGAGACAGGGAGCCTTGGAAACGGACCCCGCGCCCGCGTCCTCCACACATGGCTGTAGATGCAAAGAACCTGAGATGGACCTCCCCTCCTGGCCCAAGTCCATCCTGTTTGTGCAGGCAAGGGCATGGCAGCCTGAGGTGGAATGTACGTAAGGGCCGGCATTGCAGTGTTTCTGTCTCCCATGTTAGCAAGGTGAGAAGCTGTAGCTAGTGTCTGATCGCATCCATGTGTATGAGGGTAACAGCAGATAACTTGCAGCTCAACCACAGTTAGCTCAAAATCTGTGTAGTGGCTAATGCTACGCTCGGGGCACAGGCATCCTCTGTGCTCACCAACTGGTGTCCTGGCTGCTCCACTTCCCATCCAGCTCCCTGCTGGGACCCTGCACCCATGTGGGAGACCAAGAAGAAACTCCTGGCTCCCAGCTTCGGATCAGCTCAGCTCTGCCTGTTGTGGCTGTTTGAGGAGTGAACCAGCAGATGAAAGATCTGTCTCTCCTCTCTGTAAAATCTATCTTTAAAAAATAAAAAGAAACTTTTTAGTTTTAGATCATGTGTATTAGATTGGACAGAAAGTCAACAATAGGAAAATTCCAGAAAGTGTCTATTTTATCTAAAGAGAATATTCCTATTTTAAAAACAGAACATTCTAAGTAAATGACTAAGCCTACCCCTCCCCCCCCGCCAACTCTTCAGGGCCAGACAGCTTGAATTATCCCTCAGCCAGGGATCGGTGGGCACAGTGTAGACCTGACTCCCAGTGTACACACATACAAAGTACCAGCTCAGCTCAGGCATATCTCCCAGCCCTGACTCGGCCGTCGGAGCCCGCGTCCTTTCCTCTGCACCCTACCAGCTTCTAAGTGCCAACTGAAGTCTCACAGGAATGGGCCTCCCAGCAGGAGCAAAGCATGCGTGTGGCTGCTGGGGTCCTCACCCTGTGTCATTAGCGGGAGCTCGGGGTTGCCTGGAACTGATGGAGGATGGGGAACCTGTTTAAGGGAGTGGTAAGTACCCAACATTTCCTGTCAGGAACGAGGCCTCCTGCTCCTGGGGAACCTCACAAGCCAGCGCCCCCATGTCAGTTGCTGCTGACACCAGAGGTCCCTTGCGTCACTATCAGCTTGATGTGATCAGAGCTTGGGTTTCAAGTAGGCAGTTCTAAGAATTAATTTCCTACTTTCAACTAAAGGTCACCTTCCCCATTTTGTTCTTTCTATCATAATCGGTAACACTTCCTGATTCACTGTTAACGTGGAGCGGGCAGAGGGGGAATCCCACGCATGCAAGTGTGTGAGCAGCGGGATCCCTTGCAGGGGTGCACGTGGTCCGCGGCAGCGGCAGCATCAGTCTGCTGTGCGTTTCCTGTGTTGTGCCGGTCTCCTCACGGACATCCCAGGACAGAGTCGAGCTCATGCACCTGTTCCCAAGTCTCCTGCTGGAGCCCCAGTCATGCTCAACTGCTGTGAGGGTTGGAGCTCTCCCCGTGTCCCCACACCAGCGACTGAGGTGCTGTCAGCCTGCACATGGGCTGACCCAGCAATTCTCGTTGGTAATGGCTAATTGTTGACAAATTCTTCCATGTATTTATTTCAACAAAGAAAATAATGCCATTCCCGTTGCCACAATTGCCGAGCCTCCGCAAACATCCCGTCTCTAATCCTCACCCAGTGTTACTTCCAGCAAGGAATCAGAGCGTTATGCTAACCTGCCTTTACAGGTAAGGGGAACTTCATCTTAGTTTATCTGGTTAAATCTTCGGTTTTAAATTACAACTGAAAGTGTTGTTCTTGTTTGATGAAAAGAGCAAAGCAAACCTGTCGCAGTTAGAGTGGCTCCTGGCCTCTGCAGACCCTGAGAGGTATTGTAGTGCTCAAAGGAGGAAGGTCTTGTCTAAAGTACAGTAATAGATCTCTCAGTGACTCCAGACTTGGTGTGCTCTGTGGCTGAACGCGGTTGGTGGCAGACAGGATGGCCCTGCGGCATCACTTAAGTTCTCAGATTACCCTGCTGAAATTTGTCTTCCAAGTATGTATTCAAGAAAGGGCTTCTCAAGAGGGAGGTGACCTCTGTTGTCTCCATTGTCATACACAATTGATTGGCAGACTGCTGTGGGACAAATAGAACCTGCAAGCATTCGGAGGGAGGAAACACTACCAGGTCCCTACAGATAAGCATCTCCGCTATTGAAGGGAGTCATCTGCTAAGAGCGTGTGCGTCGGCCACCCAAGGACCACACGACAGCTTCTAGTGTTAAAGATTTGGCAAAACACACGTTTAAGCTTTGAGAAAATGTAGCATTCCAGGATGTGTTCTTAAATTGTAAACCATATCCATTCCTGGTGAGACTGTCAAATGTGGAGTACAATTCAGAAACAGGAACCAGGTGCCCCAGGAGATGGTCCCTGAGGGAGAGGTGAGGAAATCAGGGAAGATCCATCCACTGCAGGAACATCTTAGCACGCTGATTTCTCCCGGGTAGGACAGCCACTCTCGAGCTCCAAGCAGTTGGGTGGATTTGTTTGTTGCATGACCGGTTGATGTCTAGGCCTGAGTCCGATGTCCTCCTGGAGGGCATTGTATATACATAAAGAGGGTCCGTGAGATATGCAATCGTCCAGGATCATCTGGCCTCAGAGAGTCATCTGTACTGAAACCCAAGAGGTCGCCTCTTGGAGCCAGGACAGAATCGCCTTGCTCCGGAGGCGTAACTGGAGACAACTCCAAGAAGGACCATGGGGCCGAGCTGAGCAGGACTCTACTCAATGAATCGTGCACGCAAACATAAGCTACTGGGATCCACTTCGGACTGCTGACTGAATCCTTGTTACCGACCATTCTTTCTCACTATGACCTGTGTAACTTTCCTTCGCCTGCTCATATTAGAGAGGTGACGTCAGCATGGTCTCCTGCTTGCCCCAGACACCCATGTGGAGTCCGTCACTGCCTCACATGATGGTCTCTTTGTCGTCCGTTCCCCAGAGAAGTTGGCTTGTCATGGGTATTCTGCTCATTTTCTAGCGTTCTTGCTGCTTCCAAGCCATTTTAAACACATCTTTCGAGGAAACCAATTGCAACTATTTGGGTATTGGAGAGACTGCTGATGAAAAGCAAAGCCAAAGCACAGCACTCACCATCCCAAAATAAAACACGGGGCGGCATGTGGCCACACCTTGAGCCACATTAGCGTTGAGGCTAGCCATCTCATGGAAGAGCCTATGATTGTAGCGGCTTCCCAGGAGCTGGCTGTGCTGTTAGGGTCTTACCCGGAAGCCTGGGTCACATTCAGTGGGCAGCGTGTGCCTGAGGCATGCTACAGAAACTGGGATTCAATCATTCCAATTCTGCATTTTTTCAAAGATCCTCAGGATATTTTCTCATAGATAGAAAACAGTAATCCATGTTCTTTATAAGCATTTGCAAAAAAATTGTAAAACATCAAAAATTTACCTAAAATATCACCTTCCAGAAAGCTGCCCTATATATTTTTAGTTTCTGTCCTGTGTATATATGCATTTTTGTCCTTAGAACATACATCTGTGTAAGTGCTTCAGGGAGCTGGAGGGGAGCAGGTGCCCAGCCTTTCCATGACAATGCCCTCCTTGTGTATCTGAAGGCCTGCCTTTGATTTCTCGCTCGGACTCCCCACTGGCCTGCCATCGGCTCAGTGCTGGCCACTGCAGCCATTCGAGGGAAAAACTGCAGACGGAAGATCCATCTCTCTCTCTCACTCTCGCCTTCTCTCTGTAACTCTGCCTTTCAAATAAAAATAAAATAAATATTTAAAACAAAATCTAAATGCTTTCTGCCTTACCATGTGTGTTTTCCTTTGCCATAGCAGCTCGCGGTGTCCGTTTCGCAGGAAGCTTTGCTCCTTTCCAGTCTCCCGCCTTCTTCGTGCTTCTGGTCACGTCACAAACTTCTGCATCAGTACTGTGAATGCATTTTACATACACAATCTGACAGTGCTAGTTGTTAGGCTAGAAAAATGAGTCAAATGCATCAATTAAATAGTGATAAAATCCAATTTAATTACTCATCACAACTTACAAATGCATCACACCAACTCTTAATGTTTTCATAATATATTCAAGTAGCAGCACGCACAGCAAAAGATTACTAGAACCGTATCAGTTTGTTGACACCAATTCGATTCTAATGTTATAGTGTAGTAACATACACACGCCTGACATGACAAGCCATTCACTTGCTACAGTGAAGTGAAATCTGTGACTATCAAGGCAATAAGACACTATGCTTACACTGATGACGTTTTAAATTTAACTCAATTAAAATAGGTAAGGTAAAATTCATATTCCCAGAATCACCGGCTACCTGTGAAACACTCGGTGAGCACAATGGGTTCACACTGTCAGAGGAGCAGCGCAGCTCTGAGCTACGGATGAGAACATCGGGCCGGTGCGAGGCATTGCACATGAGGAGGACGGCAAGGCTCCAACCAAACTAGAAACGTGAACACTGGGTCCGGTGCCATGGCAGTGCAAGTAAAGCTTCCTCCTGATACTGGGATCCCATGCAAGACCTGGTTCATGTCCCAGCTGCTCCACTTCCCAGTGGCCTGGGAAAAACATCTGAAGATGGCCCAAGTGCCTGGGCTGCTGCATCCACTTGGGAAAGCTGGAGGAAGCTCCTGGCTTCAGCCTGGCCCAGCCCTAGCTGCTACTGCCATCTGGGGAGCGAGCCAGCAGATGGAAGACCTGTCTCTGCTGTCTCTCTCCATCTGTAACTCCAACTTTCAAATAAATAAACAAATCTTTTTTTTTTAATTTTAAATGTGAAAGAGAAAATAATAGCTAATTGAGAAAAAATATAAGGCAACGTCTTTGTGATCTGAAAGAGTGACAGACAACTAAAACTTAAGCTGAAGAAGACCATCAAAGTTAAGTATTTCAGTTCAGTAACAGGAATCAGTGACAAAGTTTACAAGATAACAAAATCAGAAAACCAGGCATGTCAAAGGTCAGCAGCATACGGGGCTGTCAACCCCTTCGTCCCCGAGGGCCAGCAGTGCAGGCAGAGCCGGTGAGGAGCAGGCACGGGCCGACGGCCGCCATTGCAGCAGGCGATGCTGCAAGTCGTGGGAGCCAACGTGGAAACAGCTGCTTTACCTGTGGCAGAGGTCTGAACTAATGTTTCCATCTCACACAATGCACAAAACCATCTAAGCCAAATTTATGGCACAGATGTGAAAATATAATAGTTAAAAACAAAACTAAAAAGAAGACATAGTGTGACTACTACCTAGGGACAAGCAAGATTGGATTTTGCATTTATTATTTCTTTCTTTTTTATGTTTGCCCATTTATGTTCATGTACTTAAAAGACAGAGTAAACAAGAGTAAGAGATTTTTCTGTCTCCTGGTTCACTGCCCCCAAATGCCTGCCACAGCCAGCACTGGACAAAGTCAAGAGCTGGGCTCCTGGTCCTGGTCAAGAGGCAAGGATTCCACATTTGAGCCATCACCATTATCCCCCAGGATGCACACTGGCAGGGAGCTGGAGTGGGAACTGGGCCCGCTCATGCGTGCTGGGCCAGTGTTTCCTGGACAGCTGTGCACCTGTGGGTCAGTGAGTATCTCCTGGGCCCAAGTCACAGGCAAGTCCAGTGGTGAACTGAAGTAGCCAGTGGCTTGCAGCCTCAGTCAAAACAAAGCCATGTTCAGTTTACCCCTTCAGTGGACCTCAAATGCTTGTGGGGTCTTTCATCGTCAACAAATCAAACCATATAGCAGTATCATGATTATGAATGCAGCAAGCAGCTGCCACCCCACTTCGTGAGAGGCACACATTTTACATACAACACAGGAGACGCGGGTTTTGAAAACTACCAAACTAGCCAGTACTTACCAAGGACTTGATTAGGGTCTGCAAATCACAGCAGGTTTGTAAGCTCTCAGAGCAGGTGCGAGGAGTACTTTTGTTTTGCTTTACGTCACCTTTTTACCTTCTCTGTGAAGTAATGAATTCAGAGAAAACAGCAATGAGACAGGTTACCAAATGGTTGTGTTTCGATTTCTGAACCAGTTTGAGGGAAAGGTGACAGACTGGCCTCTAAGTTCAAGGAGCCCTGAAATTCTAGAATCCTGGGCCACCCCCGGGTTGGAGTGAATACTGCAAGACTTCACAGTCATCTATTGAGCTTGACATCTCTGCCCACACTAGAAAAATGACATCCACCACCTTCCTCCTGGCCTGGCTCCATGAGCCTTTGGGCTTTGAAGGAAACCTGAGCTGGGAGCCTGGGATGTGGAAGTTAGCTCTGGGGCTTTCAGGAGCAGTGCAGCACCCACTGAAGTGAATCCTGTGCTTCTCCTTGCCTCAGGTTCATTGCTAATGGCACCCCCCCTTGGCAGGCTGGTAGCAAGGATCGAGCCCAATAGTGTCTGTAACATGCCCCGGTTGTTCTTGGAACAGAGAGGCCCTGGCTGTTCCTGCTCAGCCTGTCTTCCTCCCTGCCTGATAAGCTCAAGAACAGGACAGACATCCACAGAACAGTCTGAGGGAGGTCCCTTGGACCTGCCCACCCATCATCCCACCTCTGGCCACTCGGCCATTGGCCCAAAGTTAGCTCTGTCCCCTGGACTCTGAGGCACATCTTGCCCGGGCACCTGCCTGTCAGTCAGCGTCCTGACACCTTCCCCAAAGGCCACAGCACAGGCAGACAGCACACCAGCTGAGGGCTCCCAGACGTTGCGGTGCTGGTCTGAGCCAGCAGTTCAGCCTGGATTCTCTGGACGGTCCAGATATGCAGACGTGAGCACCCAAAGCTCCTGCCTGGCGTCTGGCTATTGGAGCTTCCACTCGTCTCCTTGCTCCTCCACGAGTCTGCCTCCCTCCGGCTGCTGCTGCTTCCCTGCACTGCCCAGCAGGCACACTGCCCACCGCCTTGCCGCATGAACAGCTGCTCTGTCTCTCGTTTCTCCACGATGACCGCTGTTGTCTGGGAAGCTGCAGGAATGCTGTTTTCTAAAGTGCAGCTCCGATCCTGACGCGCTTTTCAATCAAATCCTGAAACATCAAACACAGGGATCATTTGGTTTTCTCTTCACTTCCATCCACTTTTTCAAATGCTTCCCAGAACATATTTTCTTTCCTTATGTACCAATCCAAAAACATTGATCCACACACAACTGTCCACATTAATTATTTTCATTGTCTTACAATAATGTTTCTTTCTGAGATAACCTCAAATTTAGAGCCAGGGTTCTGAAACACTCCTAAGAATGCTTCTCTCCAAATGACTTGATGGCTAGATCGTTGACACAATGCCCCCTGCCCTTATAGACTCGGATAATATATATAGGGTTGCTGTTCCTCCACTGTAGACCCCTCTTTTTCCCCTCTTGGTTAAACAAGCATTTTATGGGCAGCCACTTTGAAACTGTGCAAATATTTCAAGCCTCATTACATGTGTAATTTATTCATTAATTTGCTGTTATATTAATATAGGCTCACACTTGCCTATTTAGTTCAATGGTTTTGATAATGCCCTGGATGTCTTCCAGAGGCCCATGTCTTGGGCACTTGGTCTCTTGTTTACAGATTAATGACAGAGACTTGATCTCATTGTGGTGACTGCAAGAAGGGCCCAGAAAGAGGGCTTTAGGTGCCAGGGTGGCCATCAGAAGGCAGCTCTTGTAAGAAGGCTAGTCATTCACGCTGGATTTGGCTTTTCTCTTTGCCTCCTGGGTCACCGTAGAATCATTCCTCCACACTCTGTGCCCAGTCTCCAACACATCCCAGGCCCACAGAGCTGCCCTGGCGCCACCTGATCCTTCTAACCACCTTTCTGAACCTTCTAATCATGAACTTAAATACATCTTACTTTGTGAGCAGCAACTCTCAGGGATTCGAATAAAGTAACACACACAAAAAAGCCACTGTGGTTTAGAGTTTTCATACTTGAGTCTTCCCATATTTGAATGGTGGGAGCCTGTTCACATCTTCTTCCATACCTTTGTGTACCGTCTCCTTGCTTTCCAGCTCCAGCCGTGCCAGATGCATATCATGCTGCATCAGCTCCAGCCGCGGGTCAGCCATCGTGCCCAAGGACTGGCATGAGGTGCACTCACTGCTGTTGAGTGTTGGAATTTCAGCTAATAGGCAACTATGTCTACACAGCGTCCCAAATTCCAACCCAGAACCACAACCGTAGTTTGCTCCCTTTCTGTATTTCTAATATCCTTCTCCAGCAACAACAGCCTGTCTGGCATGTGAGTCAGCTCCCTCGATGTATAGAACATCGTGAAGCCTACAGAATCACCACCCACCGTCCCAGTGCTGAAGCCTCTTACACCCATCAGGTCTGTGACCATTCAATGTCTGCCTTTTAGTTGGTCCCTGGAAGGAGCTAAGTCAGCATAGTGGAGGAAGGCATAGGTTTGATATATGTAAACACTGCTTGTAAGAGTTAAGAAAGGGCGGGGGTGGGCCAGAACAACAGCCCAATTGGCTAATCCACCCCTGGAAAGCGCCGAGATCCCATATGGGCACTGTGCATATCTCACTAGCTCTGCTTCCCATCTAGCTCCCTGCTTGTGGCCTGGGGAAGTAGCGGAGGACGGCCCTACGTCTTGGGACTCCACACCCATGTAGGAGACCCAGAAGAAGCTCCTGGTCCTGGCTTCAGATCGGCTCAGCTCCAGCCTTTGTGGCCATTTTGGGAGTGAACCATTGGATGGAAGATCTTTCTCTCTGTCTTTCCTTCTCTTTGTAAATCTGCCTTTATGATAATGATGATAATAATGATATTTTAAATAAGTAAATCTTTATGATGGAAGGAAAGAAGGAAGGAAGGAAGGTAGGAAGGTGGGAAGGAGAGAGGGAGCAAGAGAGGGAGGAAGAGAGAGGGAAGGAACAATTGTGGCACAATA